TAAACATTTATACGTCTATGACGGGCGCACCATTAATCGGTTCATTCTCGATCAAATTTATTTTCTTTATGCTAAACTTCTCTCGATCACATGATTTTTATTCTAAATATATATATATATAGGTACAGACTACAGGTTTATATGCGCTGTGCCTACTTCGGGACGCTCACGAATTTAGTATATTGTTAATATTACACACTTCTYGTCTTCTCGATATAAATGTACAGAATACTACAGATGCAGTATATTGTCAGTAGATATTATATTATATTAATATTACATACACCGAACGACCGAACGCCTTTATTTGTTTTTTGCAGGCTTTTAAGTTGATAGGGTTGTATACGTGTTTGTGTATGTGTAGCAAGGATATGTTGATAAAAATCCCTAGTGGTCACGCGGTACCTAGCAACTGCGGCTGGTACGTACGCTCTGCAGTGCGTTTCCGCAGATTGAACGTATGACCATCACGCCTCATCAAGCCACTAAAAGTATTTTATTCAATGCAAATTTAGCAAAAAACTTGAATTTTTCAATAAAATTCAACATTATTTAACCTTATGTTGAGTAAACCATAATTCGTTCACATTTCTGTATGATTCACATTAATTTCCACACTTTGTATTGCAACAAATCGCTGTAATTTTTTATTTCTACTAACAACAACCAGCTATGAAGATCTTTGCATTAAATTTTCAAGTTTTTCGATAGAGTGAGCATTTTTTTATCGACAATTATATCTTTTGATTAGCAATAAATTAAAAATAGTAAAAGTACTTAACATTTCATGAATCTACGGTACTTAATTATTATTWTTTTTTTTGAATCACACTAAAATACAAAATCAATTTTTTGAAAACCAGTTTTACATAAAGATTACAGTTTTTCCTTATAGTTTTTAATTTTTTATTTGTTTTTCCTTATATGCTTTTAAAAACTACATTGAATTTTTTTATTCTGCCCCTTCTCCATGCACCAACGATAATATTGGTATACATTAATATAATGTATCGTAATTTATTGATATTATGATATAAAGTTTGGTAAAAGCGTTCGGTGTATGTAATATTAATATAATATCTACTGACAATATACTGCATCTGTAGGATTCTGTACAATTATATCGAGAAGWGTGTAATATTATATTTTTGTCATTATAAAAGTAATATCATTGATTATAAATTATGTATGATGTATTTATAATCAATGGTAATATTAACAATATACTAAATTCGTGAGCGTCCCGAAGTAGGCACAGCGCGTATAAACCCGTAGTCTGTACCTATATATATATTTAGAATAAAAATTATGTGATCGAGAGAAGTTTAACATAAAGAAAATAAATGTGATCGTGAATGAACCGATTGATGGTGCGCCCGCCATAGACATAAGACATATAAATGTTTAACTAGTGAAATACCTAAAATAATTCGGGACCCAAYTAGCATAGTACCCATAATATTATTATTTATTGAATAGTCTTGGGTAATACGAGTACATGGTTTGATGGAGAAATTTAGGAGCATTTTTTTATTTTTTTTAATATGTATTTAAATATAGTTTTAATTGTTTTAATGTAAATTTTCCAGTCGTACTTGTCTTTGGCCATAAAATCTTTAAATTGGCATTACAATTATATCATGATGTATATTATATACGAATCTATACACCATTCACTGTTCGGAATTAATGGATTGGAGAAGTAAGGAGAGAGCCGCATACCTGAGAATAATTTGAATTCACTAAAATTTTG